CACCGCCGCCGCCCGCCCCCTTTCTACCTCCCGCGCACCCCGCTTTCCGCCCGGCCTCGCGTGCCCGGTCCTCGCGCGGTCCCCTGCGCGGCGTTCCCGCCGCTGTCCCTCGACCCGCCTCCTCCTCTGCCCACGCCGGCCGCCCTCGGGACCTCCCGCAGGCTCCTTAGCCGCTAGGTGTGGGCTTCCAGGCGGTCGTGAGCCCGAGCCCCTCTCCTTCCCTGTCCGTCGCGGCCCCACCGCTCCCACCTGCGCCCCTTCCTCGCCTCCGCCTGGCTCTGGCTCCCCAGCGCCCGCGCCCGCCTCCTCCAGGGGCTGCTGCTCTTAGCCGGCGGTTCCTGCTGGTTCGCACCCTCCCAGCTCAGCAAAACCTCCGGAACGGGCCGTGGGGCTGGGCTCAGGGACTCGCGGCACACCAGGACTAGGAAACGGCCTTTTGGCTAAGAGCAAGTGCAGGAAACGTGGGAAGGAGGCAGAGGCTGGGGAGACCGGGAAGCCTGAGGGACTGTGCAGAGGCAGGAGGCCAGTGCGGGCTGGGCGCCCGGGCCGGCGATGCTGAGGCGCGGAGGAGCCGAGGCCTGGGGAGCAGAGCCGCGTCAGGGGCTGGGGAACAGGGCAAACCTTCAGACAGGCTCCCAGCCCGAGAACCGGGCAGCTGGCAGCCACGTCCCAGGGAAGCCCCGGGTGTTCTAGGCCTTGTCGCCCCAGGGTGCCCGGTGAGGGGCTGGGAAAGGGATTCTCCCAGAGGACAATGATCAAGCTGAGGAGAACCCACCCAGGCGCTGCCCAAGAGGTCCTCTCTAGCTCCCAAACCCCGCCACAGAGGTCCTTAGCCAAGTGACCAGTGACAGTGACAGAGCCCGCCGTCTGGTGCTGCCTGAGGGCTGCGGCACGGTGCCCGCACGTCAGGTCAGGTGTGCAGCCCCGGGGCAAGGGCGTGGCACAGCGCGTGGCTGAGGATGGAAGCACACATGGGCTATCGCCTGCTGTCCCCGTGTGTGTCCGTGTGTCTGGGTGTGTGTGGCTGTTTTTTTCCTGGCTTTGATGGGGAGGATGAAGTCAGCATCTTGGACAGAACTGGACACAGCTTCCTTCCTCTGCCTTGGCCTGGCGCCCCAGAGCTGGGGCAGGGAGTAAGCCTCCCTCGGTGGCGGGCAGGTATGGGGCAGGCGCTGAAAAGGTACACCAGCCTCACATAGGGACAGAAGCATGTGCAAAGCGGTGTGCGGCCTTCCCGACACCTTCGACTCCAGATGAGTGTTCTGGGTCGAATACGCCTCTCCAAGCCAGGTCTTGGTCTCGTTAGTTAGCAAGTGTGTTTGCCATGAGTACCTTTGGCCCGGAGAATGACCCAGAGGCCTCGGAGAGAAGCAAGGCCCAGAGGCTAGCCCTGGGGTGTTCTGGAAGCCTACTACTGGGACCAGATGCTGGGGTGTCAGACAGGAACATGGGGTTCCAGACGTTTATGAGGTTACAGGGCGTTTGGGGGAGCCACTGGAAGCTTGACACAGTTTCAGGTTCTGAACCATTGCCTGAAATTTGATTCATCAGATTTCAGTCTCTTGGAGGACTCGTAGGTTTTTTGTTTTGAGACAGGGTCTTGCTTATGCAATCCAGCCTGGCCTTGAACTCACTATGTAGTCTAGGCTGGGCTCAGACTTGAGGCAATCCTCCTGCCTCAGCCTCCTGAGTGCTGGGATTACTACAGATGTGCCACCACACCCAGCAGGACCTTGTGTCTTATGTATGTTTGCATCTCACCAGAGAAGCACCAAGCCCCACACAGCAGGTACCTGATAAATGGTTGTCAATAATGAATTGTGGGAAAGGGGGTTGGAGGGAGTGGCAGGGAGTGGGAAAAAAAGCAGCAGCAAGATATATACAAATTCCCCATGATGAATGTCGTTGCTATGTAGGTCTTATCATTATGTATATGTAAAATGTACCAATAAAGTAAAAAGTAATAATAATAATGCACTGTGAAAGGGTAAGGACAGGATAGGGAACCAAAGGTAAGAGGCAGGGAAGCCCACTGGCTGGAGCGAGGGCTGGCTGCACAAAAGTGTCGTGGTGACAGGCTGAGACAGTGTTGCAGTGTTGTCCGGAACTGTCCATGGACTGGGGCCATTCTGGAACCCTCCTTCTAGTGCCTTCAGCTCTCGATCTCCATCCTTGACCAACTCTGCAAGTGCCTGTCTGGGCCTCGGGGGCTTACAGTACAAAATATATGGATAGAAAAGACGCAGGAAGATCGCCAAAAGTTCGAGGCCAGCCTGAGCTACATAGCAAGCTTAAGAACTCAAGTCTAGCTGGGTGTAGTGGCACATGCCTGTAATCCCAGCACTCAGGAGGCTGAGGCAGGAGGATCGTTGAGTGTTCAAGACCAGCCTGGACTACAAAGTGAGCTCAAGGCCAGCCTGAACTGCATAGCAAGACCCTGTCTCAAAAAGACAAAAATAAAGAACTCAAGTCTAGCCTGAACTACACAGTGAGACTGTCTAATAAAAGAGGAAAAAAAAAAAAAAGGAAAAAAAAAAGAGGAAATCGGGGGAAGAGTAGAAGATAAAGGAGAGGAAGGGCAACTGAGGGCAAGGACCTGAAAGATAGAAACCAAGAGGCCAGGGGCTGTGATCCAAGGAAGCGGTCCCAGAGAGGGGAGTGATAGGAAACATTTGTACTGGCTTCCGTTTACACAGCGGTTTCCTACAGCGCAGGCATTTTATTAATCCCACTTCGTGGCGAGCAAACAGAGGCTCGCAGATGTTGGGTGGTTTGTCCAAGGGCTCCGCTCGTGGCGGAGGTGGGCTTCTGGTTCCCAAGCCGGTATTCTCTCCCCTCCTACAACAGCTCTGGGAGAGGATGGGACTGAGGACTTCGGCCAGAGGCACAGGAAGGGCTTCTCAAAGGACCTGCTGAAGGGTGGGAGATCTGGGCTTTTGCGGCTTCCAGTTACTGCGCAGGTTTAGTGGGAAGAAACTACCCGAGGTGTGCGTGCGCGTGTGCGTGTGCTCGCGTGTGCGTGCGAGGGGCCATCGACGTTCAGTGGGGAGAAGGAGGAGTGGGGGTGCAGAGAATGGACAGAAAGGAGCCTGGGAGGAGAGGTCGAGAGGACCAAGAGGCCAGGCCTGAACGGGGCCAAGAAAGCCACAGAAACGGTCTGGACCTTCAGATTCCCACTGCCCGGAGACATGGGTGTGGGGAGAAGGGAGGGGGAGGACATTTCTATCTCGTGACAAAAGAAAGTCACACAATTGTTTTGTTCTCTGTTCTGGGGCGGGTGGGCGCTTGTATTTACCAGAGGGACCAAGGTCGCTGTGGCAACCACACATCTGGGCCCCGGAATCCAGATGTGCTGTATCGAGAAGCCATAGCAGAACGATGAGGCAAATGTTAGGTTCCCCAGCCCTGGCCCCCACAGCTGGGAAGAGGACAGAGGACTGGAGTGGGAAAGTGAAGGGAGAAGGGGGGGAGACTGGAGCGGGGAGAAGAGAGGAAGGACAGAAAGGGACAGGAATGTGGAAAGGAGCAGAGAGGAAGCAGAGAGGGAGCTGCATGAGGAAGGGCGCGGCGCACACGGGGTCAGGGCCGGAGTGAGAAGACCCAGGAAAAGCACGCGGGGGCCGTGGAGCGCAGAGAAAGGGGATACGAGGGAGGGAAGACATGAAGCCAGGAGTTCAGGGTCAAAAAGATGGACGATGTGCAGGGGCAGAGGGCAAAGATCAGCAGGAGAGAAGTCTGGAGAGGGGAGGACGAGGGAGGGGACAGCAGGGGACAGAGCTAGTGGGGCAAGGACAGCGGGACAGAGGCAACTCTAGGACAGAAAGCAGCCAGGGAGGAGCAGGAGGGCCGTGCGTGTGTGTGTGCCGCGTGCCGAGGCGCGTGGAGGGGTGGAAGCCGCCCGGGGCTAGGGTGGCACCCTCGGCGCAGCCCCCAATCCTCCCGAAACCCCACGCCTGCCGTACACAGCGCCCCTGGCCACCGAGCAGAGGCGCGTCTGTGCCTCCCCAAGCCCCAGGATGACGCACTAGCAATCCACGCGCCTTGCCGAACTGGGGTCTGGAGGACGGACAGCAGTGAGACCGAGTGCTGGACGCAGATGGGGTACGGGGGAGAGCAGGAGAAAAAGCTCCGGACGACCGGGGAAACGGGGACAAGGGGACGAGGCGTGTGTACTGCACAGTGAGGACAGCGCTCTGGCCTCACCTCGCAGAGCAGGGCACCGAAGCCGTGTTTCTACAGAGGCAAGCCTGGGGCCAGCTCAGGTGAGCGGCTCCCAAGACCCGGTTCTTGAGGTGCTCGCGGCCGGGACAGGCTGGACAAGGCCCGCGGGAGCCCAGGCAGGAGGCTCGGCTTCGGCCCGGGGCTGCCCTCTGGAGGGAAGAGAGGACTAAGTTCCTGGGAGCCCCAGTTCCAGGTTACCATAGTTACTAGGTCTGTTTTCCCCCAAAACACAGTTTGGGGCGGGTGCTAGGCAGGGGAGAGCCTGGCTGGACACGTGAGGCTCTTCCTCCCTCAGGCCCGGGCTTCTGGCCCAGGCAGCCCCTGTCCAGTCATCCGGGCGTGGAGCCCAGGCCCGGCTCACACCCTCCGCTGACCTGGGCCACTCCTGCAGGGTCAGACCTGAGGCGCTGCTGGCCAGCGGCAGCTGGCGGGGATCCCTATCAGGCTGAGGTTCAACCCTTCTCTCTGCGGCTCGCCTTCCGATGTCTTCTCTACCTGAGCCGCTCACGCCTGGCTCTTCCCTGCAGTCAGTCAGGGCTCCATCTCCTCCGGTTTGGGGCTCTGTGGACCTGGACGTACAGCAGCGCTCCCCTCTTCCAGCCCCCCAGCCCCTCCTTCCCGGCACCACCCGCTCTTGGCCCCAGATGCTCTTGTTTGTGTGAGCTGCTCATCCCGGAAAGCAGGGAGGCGGGACGACCTGCTGGGGAGCAGGGGACCGGCGCTGTGCACCCTGAAGGGCGTGGGGCCCCCCGTCCTTCCGGCTTACTCAGCCACATCCCAGGATCTGGAGCCTCGTCTGCTAGACAGACATGCGCCTGGCCAGGCCGGGCAAGGGGATGACATGAGGTCTGGTCCCACACCCGCCCCACCCCGCCGCCCGCTGTGTCTTCAGCACTTGGATCTTTGATACTTGCTCTATACAGTTCACAAGCCGGGAAGATAGCCACCATCCCTGATGCCTTCCAAGGCGTCATTTAACAATGAAAAAGATGCACCCACACACAGACTTCATCTCCCTCCACTACCCTCCTTTATTCCTATTAACTCCAAAATGTAAAAACTTCCCTTGTCCCACCTGGGGACCACTGGCCCAGCACCACCCCCAAACAGAGGAACAAAAGAACAGAGTATGTGAGAGCCCCCACCGAAACTGAACCTCACTCAGCAACCAGGAGGAGGCAGGGACTGGGGGTCCACAGCAGTGAGACCTAGATTCCAGAAAGGGGCGGGGGGGGGGCCCACCCTCCCCCCAGGAAGTGCTCATCCCGACCCGGTCTTCCCTTTACCAACTGCCCGCACCAGGGGCAGGGAATCCCGACACAGTCCTGCGGCTCCCAGGCCGCGAGTGGCCGAGGTCAGGGGTGATTGAGGTAGAGGTGCGGGCGGGAGCCCTGGTGGGCCTGGCTGGCTGCAGAAGCTGGCAAGGGGCCGCCAGTGGCATTGCCCGGGGTTGGGGACGGCTGTTTTCGGAGCGAGGGGGGCACCGTGGAGGTCTTGATGTGAATCACCCTGGTGTCCATGACCTCGCACTCGATCTGCATCATCTCCTCATAGTCCCCCGGGGCCCCCCGGCCTGACAGCGTCTCTGTGAGGGGGAGAGTTAGGAGGGGAGAAGGGGAGGTGCATGGGGTGTGGTCCGAGAGGTGTGGGGGGCTGGGGCGGGGAGGGGCGAGCGGGAGCTGAGGGGGTAAGGATGCCGGCTGTGGGGGAGGGCAGGGAAGAGAGCCACGCTGCTGCGTTGGGGCGGGGTCACGCAGAGAGGGTCCGAGAGGAAGAAGGGAGGTGAGGCCAGCAGGTTCCCAGGCCACCCCTCTGCCGGCCTCCATGCGGCACCCTCACTGGAGGGGCCACACCCTCGCCCTTCACCCGTAGCCATCTGTCCTCCTCCGCTCACTCCCGCTGCTCTCAGCCCCGAGCTCATCACCTCTCTGGATGCCCGCCTTCCCCTCACTTGGCCTCCCCTCACCCGAGGGCAAGAGTTACCATTGGGGGCCATGGCGGGCATCACCAGGGACATCTTGGGCCGAGAGGTCTTGTTGTGGCTGATGGCCGGAAGCAGCAGGTGGTCCTGGGAGCGGGAGTGGTGGCCGGAAGGTGAGGACAAGGAGTTGGCGACCTCTCCCAGCTCTGCTCTCCACCCCGACTGAGGACAGGCTGTGCGGCCCCACGGGCAGGAGGAACTCACCCTCCGGAAGGAGACAACATAAAACGTGTCCTCCCGCCGGTCGATCGCATCCAGGAACTCCGGCTGGGAGCGGTCCGGGCGGCGGTAG